GTTAATGTTTAACGCATTTTAAGAAGATGCAAGTAAAGGTACATTACAATTACACTCAAAATTTTATCGCATTGTTTATTTCGATTACATTTTCACATTTAACGTAAACGAAGAGTGCTTAAACATTTAAGTAGATAATACACTAGGTACTACTTTTAGGTGAATTATAAGCAGCCTGAGAAGTGAATAAGATCCTTCTTGACGTCGTAAGTATCTAATTAGAAAACAGCACGTACTTAAAAGAGAAAAGAGGATGAATCTTAAAGCGGTGTCTTCAAAATAGATTCTGCATGCAACAGGCGTGTATGCTAATGTTTTGAACAAGACCTGCGAATCATTGGAAATGGAGTTCTAGCTATAAATTAATTTTTTTAACGATTAATATACATTAGAAATGATATAATAATTTTAAGAATAACAGAAATAAATACGTAATAAAAAATGTACATTACAATTAACAAATAAAAATAGTTCGATGTAAAATAATTAAACACCGATACTTAATTGAATATTTAATGAATGAGTAAAAGTCAATCCTCACTACCAGAAACGAATAACGGAAGAAGAAAATAAAAAAAGTAGTTTTAGATGAAGAGATAGATCGGTTAGTACCTAAGACTAATGAGAGTTCTTATCTAAAGGGAGAATAGCCCGCCTTTGAGTGTAGTAGATAAATTAAGTTCTTTACATGATTCATAGACAGTCATTTAAACTAAGCATCGATAGATTGTCCTTTCTTCCTTTTAGCTTGTAAGATTAATTGTTATGCTGCGAGTTAGAATCAGTAACCGTCGTCTTTTGAGAATATTTTTCTTGTTTTACCATTCCGTTCTCATGTTCGATTTGTAGATATAATATAAATAAAATTTTTGCAAATCCAAACTTTCAGTGCTCAATAAATTTTATTATCGCGACCAGTTAGGTAGATTTTAATATCCAAAGGTCTTAACTACAAACTTGTGGGGTGACTGGCTACTCTACATATGATAACAGACTTAATAACATTATTTAATTAAAAAACACGCGTAAAATTAAAATAATAACTAAATAACCCTAATCGGTTCAGATTTGTGTTTCACTATTATAAGGGGAAAAAATGGAACCTTTACTGTGAAATATTTTACTTGACTATTGCCTGATTGGACTTTAAGTCCAATTCATACTATAGGTCAATTCACGGTCACAATAATGTAAAACATTATAGCATACACACCAAAATATCAGTATTGATATTATAAAGAACGATCAAGACACGGCCCAGTCAATTGACCACTGTATTTCCTTCCAATGATATTTTGATCTAATCGTGACTTAATCGATAGTAGGTGCAAATCGAGCTTTATGATTTCTACGTCTTTGAATGGGTGTAAAGTTCGATCATGCTAAGTAGCGTTTTATTTCACTTACGAAATTGATATTGTTCATTATCTTATAAACTTAACAGTAAATATTTGCTTGTTAAGATATAATTCTGAGCAGTTGAAGATTAGCAACAGTCTTACAATTTAAGCGAATCCTAGAACATTCTGTAACCTTTAAAAAAATTGTATCATTCGGGAGCATATTCTCGAACTTTTAGATCTCACAATATTATTCACTATTCTTCAAATATTTGTACTTATCATTCAGCAATGTTTTCAAACCTTCTACAAAATTTTAAAACATTCTCGAATCCTATATACGTAAGGCATTCAGGAAAATATGTGACATTCTGTAACGTTCTGAGCAGATGTCGGAATAAAAAAAAAAAACTTTTGGGTGTTTCATTCCCACCAGCCACTAATTCTGGTGGGCGGGCAGTCCCTCCGGACTACGCCGGATGGCCCTCTTCAGCCTGCTTACGGGAATCGTGGGAATGGGTGGGTGGTGGTTCAGGTGAGAAAGTTGTGACGGACGAAATAAAGACAGAAGAGAATGAAAGATTATCTGTGGAAATATTACTGCCTCGGCATTTGCCTAGGTGATCCAAGGAAACCACAGAAAAACTTGGACCAAGGCAGACGGACCCGGAATCGAACCGCCGTCCTCCCGAATGCTAAGCAATGGTCTAGACCTCTAGGCCATATGCCGCTCGGTGAGATATCGGAATTCAATTAACACTTTTACCGATTTTCTGCATGGAATTCTTTGGGACGATAGTCTTTCATCCCCCATATTATTGAAACCAACCCTTGCAGCAGTAAACCGAAGCCTTCTCCATGGACGGAAGAAGGCTATCATACCATATAATCCTCATGAGACTGCGGGATTTAGTTGGCAGAAAGACAAACTACATTTACCATTATATTGATTTCGTTTTCTAGTAATAGTACACAAGATATGATCAAAAGTTTCTCGCTACACCACTTCTAAAAAAACAGTATTTTTTATGCAGCAAATTCAGTAGATTTAGAAATAAAGCGAGGGAATTTAGTCAAGCATGATCTTCACTTTTATAAGTATAATGTGCTTTGTTTTCTGTCTAAACAGCTGATTTGTAAATGTAAAATGTAGCATCGTGCTACAGATGGCGCTCACTGTGCCGTTTGTAGTATTTTCTGAAACGCACTGTTAAGACAGCAGGTAAAAGTTGGTCTGTGTTCTGTCGGAGCTGCCTGCGACGCGCTGATGAGATCCAAAAAGATCGAAATCGCGATCCGCGTCTGGCAGTTTCGACGGAATGCAGACCACTTCGAATTATTTTATTCAACTGATTTGTATTTCTGCAGGGGTTATCATAGAAATTATTCATCGTATTCAGATCACAATAAACCAGAATTTCCCTTATTCAAAGTTAATTTTTGCGCAACATAAAGCCGTAATTTAACAGCTAAAAGATACAAACGTTCGTACATACGTACATGGGTACAGTAGACGTGTTGTTGCTCGCTAATGGGTCTTTTGTTAATTTTTTGTTCTGATGTTTAGATTGTAAAGCGGCTGTTGAAAATGTGAAATTCACGTTTTTGCAAAACGGATACAGAGACGTCTATTTTTAGGATACTGCACAAACAGCTATGGTATCTGGCACTCTTTACTCTCAAGAGCAAATGCATGAACATTTGCTTTCGTTAAAACGAATGTAATGCTCATGTCTACAACAATATTTACGATGATGAAGATTTAAAAAGTGAAATGATGCTGTCCTTATTCCTCTCGAAAACTTCATTTAATCGTCTGAAACGTAATTTAATTTACTTTCCGCTTTCAATCATGATTGGATAACGTGATAGGTAGGTATATACAAAAGTATTTTTGCTTTGACCTCTATCAGATTCATCAAAGCGTTTGTTTTTTCACCCGATATTCAATTTCACACCGGAATGAAAATAAATTGGAATCTAAAACCGTACAGTCAATAAGATTAAATAGATCATGACCGGATTTAACCATTTAACTATTAAAAAGAACTTAGTTTGACATTATTTTTGTAATAATTAAGAAACTAATTCTAAATCGGAAAACTGAAAGCATACTGAAAGTGTTTTCATGATATTTTATTCGCTATTTGAAATGATATGATCATCGAATTTTAATCTAATCTATAACTAAAATGTTTCTATTAAAAATATCTTTATGTCAATATTTATTGTTTATTCTAATAATTAAACTGCTTATTACAAAAACACAACTTTTAGTACAAAAAAGAGAACTGTAGGTACCTAAAGTAAAAGTGAATATTGTCATAGGTACAAAAGAGGACATAGGGTAGGTACTGTCTATCCAGAAAAAATATACTGTTAGGAATAGAAAAATTAGTTTTATATGGTTGTTGATGATCTTTGACACATTTTTAGGACAATAACGCGAGTGAAATTGCCGGTAAAACATATCATGAAGTTTTGTACATACATTTTCAGGGGTACAGGATAGGTCACAGGTTACCTTTTATCCAAAAAAGGGATACTGCTCCCGATGGATAGAAAAATTACTTTTATGTGATCGTCGATGATTTTTGACACATCTTTATACTAATAAAAACTTTGATCTTGATTTTTTACAAAAATCACGATTTTTGTCACTCTTGATGGTTTTCAATTTCAAAATCACAAAAATAAAACTAATACATATGTAAAAGAAAGCGGTCAATATCATAATTTACAATTATGAAGTGTTAAAAATCTAAAATATTTTTCATTTAAGTCGGTGTTTCAGAAGCAGTACGACCTATCGAAATAGATCATGTACAATTTTTTGATTACATTTTATTTTCATGTTGTATCAAAACTCTCCTTTATTTGTTTTATTTCTTAATTGATGATTGTATTGTGTACTAAATACATAAGGATATGTCCTACACTAAACAGGATATTATTCAAGAAAACCTATACTCAAGAATATTTCCTGTATGGAATTCTACACTGGAAATTATGATTATAAGATTATCGAGCAAAATACCGATGCGAAAGTTAAAAAATACGACACTTCTCGTGCTAAAGGCGTAAAATCGAATATTCTATTCCAATTTGCATTCATAAAATGAACATAGAAGAAAAGCGCTCGTGTAATTACTGTGAGATGGAGGATATTTTCCATACTTTGAGAAGTGATAATCATGTGAAAAAGCACGTAGAATCTTATGGTACTATACACTTAACACTCTTTAGCGAATTCACTTGGCTATTTAGAATTTTAAATGCGTATTGTTGGTATGTATCTACGGTTTCAAAAATGTTCCAGGTTATCTGCACTGGTAGATTGCGTGGGTAAAAGAAATGATTGAGCTACTTACCATGTAATTGTCTCCATGCTTGTTACGAAGCATATGTGCAGCATGTCGTTGTCCTTGTTTGTACGTCTGCTTTGAGACGGCAGACGGGAACCATAGCGCTATTATCCTTTCGGTGACGTAACTCAAATCCATTCCTGCAGTTCCGCTGCACCTTATGCTACTTTTTGTTGAACGGGGTTGAGTTGTAAAAGCGTCGCCATAACTCACCCCGCTGTACGATGCTAACATCTGCAACAATAGAAAGAAATTATAACATTTTGTGGAAACCAACTGGTCAACTGTTTTATTTTTATTTTAATTAATTGCGGTTGATTAATTAAAATCGGAGTTTTGCTTTTGCAGTAGTGAATTCAGTTTTAAATTCTAGAAAACGTAAAAGAATATAGCTGCACAAATTTACCAGAAATTAATAAAATTTAAAAAAATTTTTGTATAAAAAATTATACACACACACATATGCACGGTCACACACACACACACAGATACATAAACACATACATAAGTAAGTGTAATAAATGTTCTCTTTTAAACGGAGTTAAGAAGCCTAGACAAAAATTTTCACTCTCTCCAGACTCTCTTAGGTGTTTTCTCTCACAGTCTCCGTATGAGAGACTCGAACGATAAAATTGTTAATTCAGAGATTCGAGTCTCTCACAGAGAGACTGAATGAATAAAACTGAAAAATTGAGTGACTCAAGTCTCTCATAGAAAGACTGGGATCTCTGAAATATGTTGAACTTAGAAAATTTTAACCATGTCTATCGAGACACCACTTGTTGAGAGATTCGAGTCTCTCGTTCAGAGACTGGATACGAAATGAGAATCTCTGTATGAGCGACTCGAGTCTCTCGTTCAGAGACGCTAAACAGTTATTTCGACAGTCTCTCTTAGCGACACCAAAGAGACTCGATGAGAGACGGAGACTCGAGTCTTGCTTTCAGAGACTCTGAGAGACTGAACATTTTTATCTCGGATCTCTAGTATGAAAAATAGTATAATATTTAATAATACGATAAAATTCAGCAATAGGGAAAATATGCTCGAAAATCATATCTTCTCCGAATGGAGAATTTTTAAATTTCTATCAATTATTTATCTAAGCTGTTTATTCACCTATATAATAGAAGGTGATTTACGATTGAAGTTGGAGAAAATTTTATATAGTAAATATGTATATTTTTATGTTTCAAAGGGATTATCAACTACATGTGATGGTTAAAATCAATTACCATTTATAACAAACAATAAATTTTCTCAATAATATCCTGGCACCTCCACCATTTTATTTATAAATTTACTGATGAAGCAATTGGTAACAATTTAGAAAATACCTAATTAAATATATTGGCCCAATTTTTCAGTTAGAAATGTAATAGTTTCGTTACAATGCAGTTTTAAGTACTTAATTAGTAATTAGTATTAATTACTTTTTTTCATGCGTAGCTTCTAGATACGCTTTCAAATACATGACAAAGTCAAATTACAATGCTCTAACATGATTTAAACCGTTAATCACATGTGGGTAAAGTGTGTAGATGACAAGCACATTTACGCAGTCTTACAACAAGCCAGCAACTTTATTGGACGTAAATTAAAGCTGTTTCACGCCTCCAGGATACCTGCACAGAACTTTATACGTAATAAATCGATCATTTCCGTACTTATGTGCGCGTATCTTTTACTGTCAACCTAGACTGTTTCCGTATGTTGCAAAAGTTTGCCTGTACCTACACTTTCAGTAATCGATGTTTATTGCTGTAAATGTTCACGTTACTCATTGTTTTAAATCGCAATATATTCTTATTGGTACAGGATAATTATGTCTTTAGGGCATTTGAAACTGTATTGACATACAAGTAAAATTAAATTATAATATACTTCGTTTACTTTCTGTAGCGATGTGACCTTCAGTTTGACCGGCGCAAAGTAGAAAAGAACAGCACTAGGCCAGAAAAAGAAGGAGACAACTCTCGGCCAAACTCTTAACCGGCGAGGAGCGTATAATCCGTATAGTACCGTACGGAAAAATTCACCATTTTATTAACTACAATTGCATTGCTCAAATGTGCTGTTACTGGTACAATTTACTACTGAAAATATCAACGAGATGCTTATTTATATTTGAAGACATTAAAGGCTTTAACGTTTGTTTTCGACTCGCACTACTATTCATGGTTGAACAAAACTTTTGGCAGGTGTTGTATGAGAAAGTATGTTTAATGAACAAGAGTCAAGAGTATAATGAGCTTTTTTCTCCCTACCTACGATTTTGCCAGCGCGCATTCAAGACATTGGAAGGGAAACATCGCTAGAGAAAGTAAATGAAGTATAATTATCCATATAATTAGCTGTTAATGTTTAACGCATTTTAAGAAGATGCAAGTAAAGGTACATTACAATTACACTCAAAATTTTATCGCATTGTTTATTTCGATTACATTTTCACATTTAACGTAAACGAAGAGTGCTTAAACATTTAAGTAGATAATACACTAGGTACTACTTTTAGGTGAATTATAAGCAGCCTGAGAAGTGAATAAGATCCTTCTTGACGTCGTAAGTATCTAATTAGAAAACAGCACGTACTTAAAAGAGAAAAGAGGATGAATCTTAAAGCGGTGTCTTCAAAATAGATTCTGCATGCAACAGGCGTGTATGCTAATGTTTTGAACAAGACCTGCGAATCATTGGAAATGGAGTTCTAGCTATAAATTAATTTTTTTAACGATTAATATACATTAGAAATGATATAATAATTTTAAGAATAACAGAAATAAATACGTAATAAAAAATGTACATTACAATTAACAAATAAAAATAGTTCGATGTAAAATAATTAAACACCGATACTTAATTGAATATTTAATGAATGAGTAAAAGTCAATCCTCACTACCAGAAACGAATAACGGAAGAAGAAAATAAAAAAAGTAGTTTTAGATGAAGAGATAGATCGGTTAGTACCTAAGACTAATGAGAGTTCTTATCTAAAGGGAGAATAGCCCGCCTTTGAGTGTAGTAGATAAATTAAGTTCTTTACATGATTCATAGACAGTCATTTAAACTAAGCATCGATAGATTGTCCTTTCTTCCTTTTAGCTTGTAAGATTAATTGTTATGCTGCGAGTTAGAATCAGTAACCGTCGTCTTTTGAGAATATTTTTCTTGTTTTACCATTCCGTTCTCATGTTCGATTTGTAGATATAATATAAATAAAATTTTTGCAAATCCAAACTTTCAGTGCTCAATAAATTTTATTATCGCGACCAGTTAGGTAGATTTTAATATCCAAAGGTCTTAACTACAAACTTGTGGGGTGACTGGCTACTCTACATATGATAACAGACTTAATAACATTATTTAATTAAAAAACACGCGTAAAATTAAAATAATAACTAAATAACCCTAATCGGTTCAGATTTGTGTTTCACTATTATAAGGGGAAAAAATGGAACCTTTACTGTGAAATATTTTACTTGACTATTGCCTGATTGGACTTTAAGTCCAATTCATACTATAGGTCAATTCACGGTCACAATAATGTAAAACATTATAGCATACACACCAAAATATCAGTATTGATATTATAAAGAACGATCAAGACACGGCCCAGTCAATTGACCACTGTATTTCCTTCCAATGATATTTTGATCTAATCGTGACTTAATCGATAGTAGGTGCAAATCGAGCTTTATGATTTCTACGTCTTTGAATGGGTGTAAAGTTCGATCATGCTAAGTAGCGTTTTATTTCACTTACGAAATTGATATTGTTCATTATCTTATAAACTTAACAGTAAATATTTGCTTGTTAAGATATAATTCTGAGCAGTTGAAGATTAGCAACAGTCTTACAATTTAAGCGAATCCTAGAACATTCTGTAACCTTTAAAAAAATTGTATCATTCGGGAGCATATTCTCGAACTTTTAGATCTCACAATATTATTCACTATTCTTCAAATATTTGTACTTATCATTCAGCAATGTTTTCAAACCTTCTACAAAATTTTAAAACATTCTCGAATCCTATATACGTAAGGCATTCAGGAAAATATGTGACATTCTGTAACGTTCTGAGCAGATGTCGGAATAAAAAAAAAAAACTTTTGGGTGTTTCATTCCCACCAGCCACTAATTCTGGTGGGCGGGCAGTCCCTCCGGACTACGCCGGATGGCCCTCTTCAGCCTGCTTACGGGAATCGTGGGAATGGGTGGGTGGTGGTTCAGGTGAGAAAGTTGTGACGGACGAAATAAAGACAGAAGAGAATGAAAGATTATCTGTGGAAATATTACTGCCTCGGCATTTGCCTAGGTGATCCAAGGAAACCACAGAAAAACTTGGACCAAGGCAGACGGACCCGGAATCGAACCGCCGTCCTCCCGAATGCTAAGCAATGGTCTAGACCTCTAGGCCATATGCCGCTCGGTGAGATATCGGAATTCAATTAACACTTTTACCGATTTTCTGCATGGAATTCTTTGGGACGATAGTCTTTCATCCCCCATATTATTGAAACCAACCCTTGCAGCAGTAAACCGAAGCCTTCTCCATGGACGGAAGAAGGCTATCATACCATATAATCCTCATGAGACTGCGGGATTTAGTTGGCAGAAAGACAAACTACATTTACCATTATATTGATTTCGTTTTCTAGTAATAGTACACAAGATATGATCAAAAGTTTCTCGCTACACCACTTCTAAAAAAACAGTATTTTTTATGCAGCAAATTCAGTAGATTTAGAAATAAAGCGAGGGAATTTAGTCAAGCATGATCTTCACTTTTATAAGTATAATGTGCTTTGTTTTCTGTCTAAACAGCTGATTTGTAAATGTAAAATGTAGCATCGTGCTACAGATGGCGCTCACTGTGCCGTTTGTAGTATTTTCTGAAACGCACTGTTAAGACAGCAGGTAAAAGTTGGTCTGTGTTCTGTCGGAGCTGTCTGCGACGCGCTGATGAGATCCAAAAAGATCGAAATCGCGATCCGCGTCTGGCAGTTTCGACGGAATGCAGACCACTTCGAATTATTTTATTCAACTGATTTGTATTTCTGCAGGGGTTATCATAGAAATTATTCATCGTATTCAGATCACAATAAACCAGAATTTCCCTTATTCAAAGTTAATTTTTGCGCAACATAAAGCCGTAATTTAACAGCTAAAAGATACAAACGTTCGTACATACGTACATGGGTACAGTAGACGTGTTGTTGCTCGCTAATGGGTCTTTTGTTAATTTTTTGTTCTGATGTTTAGATTGTAAAGCGGCTGTTGAAAATGTGAAATTCACGTTTTTGCAAAACGGATACAGAGACGTCTATTTTTAGGATACTGCACAAACAGCTATGGTATCTGGCACTCTTTACTCTCAAGAGCAAATGCATGAACATTTGCTTTCGTTAAAACGAATGTAATGCTCATGTCTACAACAATATTTACGATGATGAAGATTTAAAAAGTGAAATGATGCTGTCCTTATTCCTCTCGAAAACTTCATTTAATCGTCTGAAACGTAATTTAATTTACTTTCCGCTTTCAATCATGATTGGATAACGTGATAGGTAGGTATATACAAAAGTATTTTTGCTTTGACCTCTATCAGATTCATCAAAGCGTTTGTTTTTTCACCCGATATTCAATTTCACACCGGAATGAAAATAAATTGGAATCTAAAACCGTACAGTCAATAAGATTAAATAGATCATGACCGGATTTAACCATTTAACTATTAAAAAGAACTTAGTTTGACATTATTTTTGTAATAATTAAGAAACTAATTCTAAATCGGAAAACTGAAAGCATACTGAAAGTGTTTTCATGATATTTTATTCGCTATTTGAAATGATATGATCATCGAATTTTAATCTAATCTATAACTAAAATGTTTCTATATAACACAGACATAACTCAAAATTGGTTGGATTATCTGCTAAACACCATTTTGATTGATTCTCTATAAACACACATACCTACATGGCTTCTAAAAGAAAAATTTTGTGTGTAGCTGATTTTTCTGAACGATTTCATTTGTAACATTCTAACCATAAAAATATTTCGTATTGTATTGGTAGATACGAGGGCTGTTCAAAAAGTATTGGGAATTTTGAATTTTCCCGGGTTACATATGCTCGATTTTCGATTGGAAGTCATGTCTCTCACTTAAACCGATAAGTTCGATCATGTTGAATGTTCAGTTAATTTTTGACAGCTGCTTTGCTTGCACGTATTTTGACTCGTAGTCGATTTTTGCCTATTCCAAAAAATTGACCAAAAAATCTGTATCAAATTTTGTGTGAAGAACAAAATTAAGTGCGGGGACGCATTCCGAATATTGACTGTGGCATATGGTGAAGCCACCTTTAACCGAAGCAACGTTTATCGGTGGTACAAAATGTTCTTAGAGGGCCGAGAAGATGTGAATGACGAAAAGCATGCCGGATTCCCGAGCACGTCAACAACAGAAGAAAACATTGATGAAGTGAAGAAACTACTTAGTATTGGCCAATCGTCGTATCATCGTTGGAGAAATTGTTGGAGACCTAAACATATCTATTGGTTCCTGCCATTCGATTTTTACCAATGATTTGAGACAGGTCGCCACGAAATTCGTACCAAAATTGCTCAATTTCGATCAAAAACATCATTGCATTAACATTTCTAAGGAGTTGTTCGACTCTGTCCATGATGACCCTAATTTGCTCCAGAGGGCCATAACTGGAACGAATCATGGATTTATTGTTATGACGTAGAAACCAAAGCTCAATCATCCCAATAGAAGCTGCCGCTCGAGCCGCCAAGTTAAATATGTGAAAGTTTTGCTTGTAGTTTGCTTCGATTGCAGGGGCGTGATGCATCATGAATTCTTGCCACAGGTAGAACGGTTAATAAGGAATATTACCTCCAAGTTATGCGCAATTTGCGCAAAGCAATCCGCTAGAAACACCCGAATTTATGGATAACGATAACGCCCTTGCTCACACATCGTTGCTTGTGCGCGAATTTTTGACTAAAAATAACACACTAATTAAACCGCAGCCACCCTATTCCCCAGAGCTGGCTCCCTGTGACTTTTTCTTGTTCCCGAAACTTAAAAAGCCCATGAAAAGACGACGCTACGCTACGATTGAGGAGATAAAAACGGCATCGAAGGAGGAACTGAACAAGATCACAAAATATGATTTTTTGAAGTGCTTCGAGGAAAAAACGTTGGCATATGTGTATAATATCTTGTGGGGATTACTTTAAGGATGACAAAATAGGTATTCATGAATAACTAAATAAATATTACAAAAACACAAAATTCGAAATACTTTTTGAGAGACAGACCTCGTATTGTCGAATCTCTAAACATGTACCTTCTACACATTCATTATTATCTGACCAAAACAAATTAATATTAAACTGCTCGTTTCTTGAGCCTTGTATTAAATTGATTTGTGACGACTATTTACAAATGTCTTTTTACTATCGTAACCAAAAATTCCTTGTTGAAATTGTAGATGAAAGTCCAATATTCACTTGCTAAGTAAAAACGTTCTTCATCTAAACTTTATTTAGGATCATATTGACGTAATCATTTTCCGTAAAAATACCAAGTTTTTATGGTTGACAACGTATTTAAACATTTTCTTACCTTATTCCCAACCGGCTCATGTCTAACTGGCTCATGATGAGTATGCTGCAAACAAACAGAAAAACGCTATTAGTGGTTTTCTTCTATTAACTTACGATCTGAATCTTTTAAAAAGTAAAAAATTCCTAAGCAATTCATGAACATGTGCTAAACAATATAACGCTGTGATAATTAAATTATCGAGGAAAGCGAAATGTTGAAGATACGTTAGTGTTCAAAAATTTATAAAAGGAAGTAAGTACAAAGTGTAAATGTTACTAGCAAAAGTGGAACGAGTAAATAACAGCATTTTCTTCATTTAAAGTTATAAAGAAGATCAATAATGTTTATGATAACTATAACCGATTAATAGTATATATGTGTAATGTAAAATGTTTTCAATTGTTCAATATATTTTAAATCAATTTTCTGCAGAAAGAAATTACGGAAAAGCAATTAAAAATCTTTAAATATATTATAAAATAAGAATTATAGAAGTATGAAATACTTAGGAGTAGACAAAATCTAAATAATTTATTTCGGCTTCATTGAAGATTCTTATATTTGAACACTTTTATAAGAACATTAAAAAAAATAGAAAAAAGAGATTTGGAGATGGAAATGGCTCGCTGATTTTAATTTTTTTAACACAACTTTTGATACTTTTTGTTACATAAGTTCAATTTCGTTGATACATCTACACTATTTCGACATCCCAGATTCACAGCTGTCCAGGAGTCATTCAGTCTGTCATCTGGTGCATTAATTATATACATACTTCAATTATATTATCAGCATTACAGATATTATAATCTGTTTTAGTTGTATTACCTATGCGGTAAACGGTACTAGTAATAGATGGCAGTATAATAAACAAATTCAATAATAATACACAAATTTAATAAAAAAGAAATCAACAATGGACTATTTCAATTGAAACCATGCTTAAGACAATTAAAAAAATAAATCTACATTAACACAAAATTTATATGGATCAACTGCCTGATTTTTGCTAGCAAGGGAACAGATTGCGAGTTTTTATTGTAATATACATGTAGTAGTTAATCTAATATGAGGAATTCACGATATATACGCAAGATAGACGATATGCGTAAGTGAATTCTGATGCTAATTGATCTAATCGATTTTATACTTCATAAGCAGCAACTTTTATTTTCCACATGAGAGCTTAAAATATGTGAACACAGTCGTTGTCTTCCTCGATTCCGGTTATTTAATAAAAATGTCGAAGATCTCTCCTGACAATATATATAAATACTACTGGTAACAATAATCTAGCCATTGTGGAATCTCAAAAGAGTGGCTTCTGATCAACAATAAGATGCAGATCTACCAGGAAATGGAAAAAAAAACTAAAGCGAAACACCCACAGAGCAGAGCAGAACTGATCTTCCTTAATAATGAGTTGGAACGGGGCCCGGTGGGAGGTCAAGAAAGTACTAAAACGCCTACGGAAGCAGAGCACAGCAGTTTTGAATTAACATAGAAAGATGCAGTGTCGACTTTTAAAGAAATATAACATTTTCTAAACCTCTTTTTGTGTAATAACAGTTACGGCTGAAAGAACATTCTATAGGCAACAAGGCCATGGGACTAGTTCTGAATACGTACTTACGAGTAGGTACTGATAAAAACCTTCAATATAATTTCACCTCTTGTACTCATTTGTACTTCCCAGAAAAGTAAAATCCGTCAGAAACAACTTTTAATAATAACATAAAGATTTGATGTAAATGAACTATAAGAAATTTACTTAAGTCTTTGGATTATCTGCTACCTGCGATGATACGAGGTGTTGACCGTATATTCAACATGGATTTTTCATCAACCAGAACTTTCAAACTGTAGAGTCTCACAATCTTAACACAACTCTCATAAGCTTTAGATTGATTAATTATATTTCTGTTTGTGAAACCTAAAACTGTAGTAATATCATGTATAACGGATTCTTTAGCTAATAAGGTGTTTGGTGTCTGTACATGAAAACTCCGACGGTTCATCAAGAGCGTGGACCTTTGCTAACCCAGCAGTTTTAGATAAGCTACATGTTTTTTTAATTTATTTTTCAGATTTAGATATTGTTTACTTCTTTTGTTCGTTTCAATCTCCCAATAAAATTATGATTTTCAAGTTTTAATTTTTTCAAAAATTGATTTTGTTCTGTATTGTTCTAAATGTAAAAGTATGAAATAAAGTTATTTTATTTACCATTTCACTATAAGGTGACTAATCATAATCTTAATTTGTCTATCTGCCTTGAGCTAGTCTTAATATTTTTCTAAAACTAGAACATCCCAAATCCTTAACTATTTACAAAGAATAGCCTAACCTGAGTTTTCCGCTATCAAGAGGGTAGCGGAGAACTTATACTTAAATTTGGCTACTGCTGTTAATTAATTGCTAATATTCTATTTAGAAAACTCATACTTACATTTGTTTATTGCTTTAATTAATTTTCAATTTACTGTATCAGTAAAATAATTGTTTAATTTTTACTGACACATAAATGGATGCAACAGTTACAAATTGCATTCTTACAGCTCCAATAATGTCGAGTACAGTTTGTATAAAGGCTCTTTTATTGTTCAAACACCACTTAAATTCTGAAAACAACTTTATTCCGCCCAGTTACATTGTTCTGTATGAGACGTGAAAGGCATTTTACTTCACCTTATCCTTAAATCTCTTTTAAAACTTTGCAGTTCGTCAAACGGCCTTTTATAGCAAGAAAACCTCGTACTGCCTTTTTCGTCTTTACCAGCGATGAACGTGATGTTGACAGATTCGCTGTTTGAAACTTCAAACGGATTCAGTCAGTACGCCACTTTGAAACGCGAACGAAAAGCGAATAAGAATGATTTATAACTGACTGATTGAATGGAACATTGATGAAATGGCATATAATAATAGTACACCGGACGTGAAAATTGTACTTGATATATGTAGGTACAAGGTTGTTGCTATATTTTCGCCATGTTTGATATTAGGAAAATTATCTAAAATATAGTGAAATTATCTCGTAACAGAGCATCCTAGAAACGCAAATCACTGGTTGTTTGAATGAACATTCGACAATTAATAATAAATGTTATACGGGCTAGAAAAAAAAATAAATAAGTATTGCGGCGATTCTAGTTCTTGTATCGTCCGTTGATAAGCGACTAAAGCCTATCTAAACGTTTTCTCGCAAGTAGCAAAAAGTATCTAATAAATAAGGCAGACATCACGTCACTAGCCCTACTCTTACTGATGAGTCCAGGCGTGCCCTAAAGACTGGGGCGATCTCTCTTTTTTTTTTCGCTAAAGTAGTGATGTTTTCGAATAAAAAACGCAACCTTCACAGTGTTTCAGCTCCAGGTACTGTAGCGACTTACTTCTGTCTCGCCATCATATCTCGATACGTCTTAGTTCTGATAGCTTCCGCCAGGAGACCAAAGCTCTCTAGCCGCTTTCCCGCAAGCTACGAAAAGTGTCTAATAAAGCAGACAGATAAGTCCATATCTACCCGCGGGATGAAAACCACTACACCTAGATCGCGATTTCTGACTTATCTAATCCCTATCACCACATCATATGTAATTTCGATAAGTCACAGACTAAACCAACGTTACCCCATATAATTATGATTATTAATGTCAATTAAACTAATTATTACTAATAAATATCTAGAGACAACGAGATAAAATCTAATTGTTAGATAAATGTTGTTTTCAATTGGCCCAGGGCCAAAAAAAGTGAACTGCATGGGTCAATCTGAAAACATTTGAGGAAATTATACTATTTACAAATGGAATGTACTTTTCTGGATCAATTCCTCGAGAAGTATGAGCAAATTATGAAAACGATCAAATACTTGTCGAAGAGTATCCAAAAGGATTTAAAACAGTTTACCAAGTTTCTTCTGCTTAGTTACCTTCTACTTATCTATAAAAGTCGTTAATTTATTAAGTATTTCTAGTTTATCATAAATGTAATTTTAGTACTTCGGCAATTGGAAATTGAGTATTCAAAATACCGACAAGCGATGTTAAGAATGTTTAACGGATGTGAAATTTGGTTCACGTTTTGGTTGAACTTTTATTATGTATATCTTGTGCATGTCGCAATGTTACATATATAATCGAAACTGTAGGATATGTTGTTGCATCTCACTGTGCTTCGGATGTAATCGATGGCCACAATAAAACTGCCATTTCGTACAAGTAACCTAACGCTTCTCGAAGATCGATTGCTGGTAATATTAACGCTACGTACGTATGATATACGTGTTCGTTCACCGTTATTAACTTATAAATATACTCCATTAAACCTGTTTATCTTTAAAGAGGTTAATAAAAAAGGAATCAATGCTGATAATTTCCTCTTACAGCACACAAATTGGTCCTATTTATAATTTTATTAACACACAAGAACTATTTTTATCAATGAAACCTGTTAAAAAACGAAGATAATCATTTGATCCAAAGAAGTGTTTAAGTGTTAGTTTGTGTTAATGAGCTTGCTCCATCTTGCGGTTACTATATCTTTTTACCTTATAGTTAAATAACTGATAAGTCTTGATTTCAGATTCACTAATATTAATATAGTATAAAATTATTCTTTAAATCCATTAAGCTAGCAAAATAAAGTGGTCAAAATTAATGTCAAAAATGCTGAAGTTAGTTTTTTTTAGGGGTAAGTTTGGTGTCAAAGTCAGTAATTAGGGGCTCATAAACTGCCAGAGATATTTAGTACTATGGTTCAGTACACAATGTTATTGAAATGAATAGTGAAAATCTTTGACATTTTTTGAGCACCATAAGTTTTATCCTTGACATCAAATTGCCCTTAAAAGGCTCTTTTAATAACACTTTTGAACTTGGACTCTGGTATCAAGGATGTCATTGTTACTTTTTCAATTATCTTAAAATCAACTGCCTCATAATAAAGATAGATCACTTACTAAGCCTTTGTAAAAAAAATTGCGAAGTTCTCAAAGACAAGTTTATATACATATTGAACTATCTTACCCAATGATTTTCAATTAAAAGCAGATATAAAGGGAT